CTCTGAAAATCTGACCTGTGAAATGTGCTTTGAAATAATTCTTCAAAACATTTTTCTCCTTTGTCCCAGGAAGAACATAAATTGTAAATTTTGGATTTATAGTGCAAGCCTTTCTGCTCTCTCCTCTCAAAATAGACTCTGATGAAAGCTATTTATGTTCTATACGGAAAATGTTCTAAAAATGTGGAATATTTCCATTATCATTTTGCACCTTAATACAGTTTCCTTTACAATTTCAACCTGAAATAAGCTGACTGTCTCCAAATTAGCCTTCCATTAATAATGATGAGAGCCTCTGTCTGAAATATGTACAATATTTATGTGCTATCTCACATATACAGTCTAATTTATTTATTTAACCACTTTCCTGCCAGGGGATTTATTTACCCCCCTTCCTGACCAGGCCATTTTTTTAATTATATACCCCACTTTGGCTTCTATTTGCTTTTTGAAACATGAACCTCAGGTAAATATAGTTTTGCTGATGAGCACTTTGTCTGCAGCAGTACATGGGGCAATGAACAACAGTCAAATAAAAATGTGCAGATACACATACCTCAAAATAATATGATTGTTCTGAATGGGGAAGCTATAAATAATTTATTGAACTTTTACTAGCTGCACTGAGTATTGGGATGTTTTTTTGTATTGTTCGGTATGTTGTCCTGCCTTTGAGCACCTTCATTTTCCTAGTTATAAAAATTGTTCCAAGGAGGTACCATTTCTTTTGCCTTCCTGAAACTTTGTCATAGGGTTTCTTTGAAAGCAAGAAACATGTGATACAATGTAGCATGTAATATGCTACCTTTTCTTTTTATTAATGTGGATGGGATATATTTTGTGTCTTGACTACAGGCCAACACCACACATTAGTGACTGTAAGAAACCATGTACATTAAGTTTTAAAGAAGATAAAACCAAATACGTAACATACTGTTCAAAGATCATTTTAATTATGTCAGTTATCTCTTTATAGTCTTCCTATTTTTTTTACTTCAATTTATTCTAATTACATTTAATTACTGCAATCTGATCAATGAGAAATTATAATGATATGCAAATGTATTAAAGGCTTTTAGCATCTTTTCAAACTGAGAACATATATAAAAATTGCTATCTATTTAATTATGATAGCAAATTGACAATTGCAGTGGAATGTTTATTACTTAATTAATATAACCTTATAGAGTCAATTTATCAAAATTGTTGTCACTTCTTTCTTAGAGCAAATGAACCCATTTAACATATTTACAGTGGCAAAAGGGTCTAGTACAACAAAAAGGAGAATTTCTACATTTGATTATTACCTTTATTCTCCTCCTCCATAATAAATTACTAAGGAATTTGATGTAAGTTATTATTTCCCTAGGCACAATGAGCTAATAAACAGATCTTAAAAGTCAAAGTGTATGATATCATTCTTGCACAATTCAACTTTTTCAACTGAGTGAGCACCTTTTGAGCATCAGAACACTTTCACAGCCATCTCTGGCAGAATGATGTCAAAATATTAGTGATTTACTGATTGGATTTGTTCAGCCTACTTTTTGTTTCCCTGAAGCAAACAGACAATGTAATCTGGCTAGCCCCCTTTCTCCTCCACAACCACATCTGAAAATGAGCTGTTCTGAAAAAAAGACCTTTCAGAAGAAGGATCATTTGGCAGCCAAATAATGTGCCAATGGCTGACTGCCCAACGATGCCTGCAATTCCCAGTTCTCTGTGTAGCAGAGGATAAAATCCCACGTGTATGTGGCTTATCCAGCTAGGTCTATGGTTGTAGGACCAAAGATATATCTTTTGCAATACAAGTCTCTTTTACTTTTGCTGACATATTCAGCTGTTTAAATACCAAGCATGAACATTAATTGTGCTGTAAATTTTAATTTGATATGTGCTATTTCTCTTTCCCTCATCTCTGAGCAATACATGAACTATTCTGGCTACATGCAGTAGATGGCCCCTCTGCTTAGTTTTAACACTACTTTTAGAAGCAGAAGAATTTCCAAACTTCTCAGGATTATGGTGACTTTGCAAGCAGAGGAGCATCCATTTTTATATCTTTAACATAACTAAAAAGCTAATTCTAGCCTTAAAACGTTGCTTTGAAATGTAAAGTGGCAATACAAGGTACATGTTATAGACAGTATTGGTAGATGTCAACAAATAAAGGACAACCTTTTATAAGTTCACTATTTTTCCAAGCAAATCAAATATTCTGCTGGGCGAGTGAATAAATGAGGTTATTATTTGATTTGCTGGGATTAATATTTACTTTGGTATATTAGTGAACTTGTAAACATAGTCCAAACAACCAATTACCAGCTGACCATAATGAAGAATGTGCCGCCTCTCCCTACCCCAACTGGAACCCCGTAATCATCTGCAGGGATCAAATAGGGATTGCCATTTAGAGGTTGCTGGGGCCTGTAGAGTGAATGTACCCTTCCTGTTATATAAGTGACCTTTGATTAAGTAGAATATTTCTTTAATAGGCGTTATCCTAATTAGGAACCATAATAATTTTTATTGGAGCAATGGTGTTATACACAATTTTCTTGTTTTCAAAGTCCACTACCACTTTCCTGCAATGGGAGTGACTTAGTCAGTGATCCTTTTTGATGACTACAGTAGATCACATAAAGCAAATTGGTTTCAGAGACTGCAGCCCCTTTGCAGTGAACCCTGGTAGGAGCTAATTATTTGGATTCATTTATCCCTGTTGTTTCATATTGCAGAAGATGTAGGATTTCCAAAATAATTTATTTTATCCCGCAAACATATCAGTGCCCCTGGCCACCCATTCATTCCCTTTCCTTATCCATATACCAGAAATATCTTCCTTCCCAGGTGGGAAATAATTTGTTCCCAGTTAGTGATATTAACATTGAATTAAATTCCCATTTCATTTGATTGTGAATTCTCTCCCAAACCTTAATTATATTCCGTGTATAAGTGCTCGTTCCTTCAGCCAATTTACAATACTGCTGTGGCAACCATACAATCCTCTCTAACTGTGTCTCACTTAGTGTATTTTCTATCTTAACCCAACTTTTCCCTATTTTATTATATGTCCAATCAAAAATACGTGACAACAAAACAGAACAATAATATCTCTTAAAGTCCAGCACACTTAAGCCCCCATTTTCCTTATCTTCTCACAGCACTTCATAACTAATTCTTGTTTTTTTTCCCCAAATGTATCTCAATATCATTCCTTTAATCACTTTAAAATAGCTTCCTAGAAGCTGTGTGGGTAGCATATGAAATTTATATAGGATTTTTGGGACAATTATTATTTTTACTAAGTTTATCCGTTCTATCCAGGAGCGTGGGCCAACTGCAATTCTCCTCAGTTCATCCTTTATATCATTTATTAGTGGGATGTAGTTTATTTTATATAGATTCTTGGGCGACGAGTTAGTTTGGGGAAGAGAGCAAGATATGTTAAATATGTGGAAACTAAATGAGTCACTCCTTCAGGATCAGGAACTGAGAGTAATAAAAGAAATAGAACAATACTTTGTAATAAATGAGACTGACGGAGTCTCAATTGCTATGATGTGGGAAGCACATAAGGCATATATCAGGGGAATTTTGATAGCAGTGGGAGCAGAAAAAAGAAAGAACAGCAAAAGAAAATAAATACGTTAATAAGTGAATTATACACTCTAGAACAGCTACATAAAAAGATAATAATAAAAGATATACAACAGAAAGTGATCAAAAAAAAGGAAGAAATAAGTAGCTTAATGGATCAAGAATCGTGGAGAATATTTAATAGGATGGCAAGAGAAAGATATCAGTGGGGGAATAGACCTGGTAAATATTTAATGAGAGCACTGAGAAATAAGAAATCAAGAAATTTTAAAGAGAAAATCAAAAAAGATAAGGATGAAATGGTGTATTCAACCACTGATACTGCGAATGTATTTAAAAAATATTATAGGAAGTTGTATGAAGTGAACCCGAAAAAGTCAAAAGGAGTAGAAGAAGAAAGAATTAGAAAAAGACAGACGTATTTAAAAGAGGCGGGATTATTGAGACTGGGAGAGGAACACTCTCTAGAGAAACCAATAACACAGGAGGAAATTCACAGGAGGAAATCCAGTTGGCTCTGAAGGGAACAGCCGGGGGGAGGAGCCCTGGGCCAGATGAGTATACTGTGAGATACTATTAAACATTTTAAGAACAATTAGTCCCTAAACTGTGTACATATATGAATACACTAGGAGAGGGAATGGAAATGAGGGAATAATCATTGCAAGCACATATTACAATCATACAGAAGGAGGGGAAAGATGGGATCCAATGTGCTAGCTGCAAGCCTATCTCACTGTTAACCACTTGCCTACCAGGCACTTATACCCCCTTCTTTACCAGGCCAATTTTCAGCTTTCAGCGCTGCCGCATTTGATTGACAATTGCGCGGTCATGCAACATTGTACCCATATGAAATTTTGATCCTTTTTTTCTCACAAATAGAGCTTTCTTTTGGTGGTATTTAATCGCCACTGGGCGCTTTACTTTTTGCGCTATAAATAAAAAAAGTGCAAAAAATTTGAAAAAAAAAAAAAAGTTTATTTGTTTCTTTTATAAAATTTTTCAAACAGGTATTTTTTCTCCTTCACTGATGTGCGTTGATGAGGCAGCACTGATGGGCACTGATAGGCGGCACTGATGGGCACTGATAGGCAGCACTAAAGGGCTGATAGGCAGTACTAATGAGGTGGCACGGATAGGCGGCACTGATAGACAGCACTAATTAGGGGTCATGGATAGGCGGCACTAATATGCAGCACTGATAGGCGGCACTGATAGGTGACACTGATTATGGGTACTGATAGACGGCGCTGACTGGCATCACTGCTGGGCACTGACTGGCGGCACTGACTGGCACAACCCCTGGGCACTGACTGGTGGCACTGACTGGCAGCACTGCTGGGCTGCACTGGTGGGTGGCACTGGTGGGCAGCACTGGTGGGTGGGCACAGGTGGGTGGCACTGGTGGGCACAGGTGGGTGGGCACAGGTGGGTGGCACTGCTGGACACATGTAGGTGGCACTTCTGGGCACAGGTAGGTGGCACTGCAGAGTAGCACAGGTGGGTGCACTGCTGGGCACAGGTGGGTGCACTGCTGGGCACAGGTGGGTGCAATGCTGGGCACGGGTGGGCGGAGCTAGTGGGCGCACTGCTGGGCGGAACTTGCGGGTGGCACTGCTGGGCACCGATCATCAGGGCACTGATCATCAGTGCCCCGATGATCGGTGCCGATCCCCGCTCTGACAACTGCCGGTTCTCGGCAGTACTTTCCTCACGATCTGACAGCGTGAGGAAAGTGCAGCCGAGAACCGGCACTTGCATTTCCCTGTGATCAGTGTGTCATTGGACACCGCTGATCACGTGGTAAAAGGCCGCTGTGATTGGCCTTTTACCACATCACGTGATCAGCTGTGTCCGTAGGACACAGCGATCACGGAGATCGCCGGGTGCGCGCCCCCTGGGGCACGCAGGAGAGCGCGTTCTGGGAGGACGTCATATGACGTCCACCCAGAACTGGCCGGCCGCAGTGAAGCCGTCATTCGGCTATCTGCGGTCGGCAGCTGGTTAAATACGAAAACAAAATTATTTGCGAAAGTCCTGACTATTAGGCTGAAAGCCTTAACGTTAGTGTGGATTCATTTAGGTCAAGTGGGATTTGTTCCTGGAGGGAGGAAAGAGACAATGGGCTAAGATCATTATTCCTCATAGAAAAAAGTAAGAGAGGTAAACTTCCCGTGTTGATCCTGTCAGTTGACGCTCAAAAAGCTTTCGATAGGGTAGACTGGGGCTTCATGATGGATAAACTAAAGGTTCTGGGAATGGGTCCAAAAATGAGAGAATGGATTGGAAAGCTTTATAGTCACCCATCAGCCACAGTAAAGGTCAATGGCTCATTTTCAGAGTATTTTACAATGTACAACAGGACAAGACAGGGGTGTCTGCCCCTGTTTGTTATATCTTTAGAGCCTTTTTTGGCAACAGTATGACACAGTCTAGATGTAAAAGGGATACAGATAGGAAAGATAGAACATAAGGTGGCAGCATATGTTGATGATATGCTATTTTATGTTGTAAACCCTAGGCTGACACTACCTAATTTAATAAGATTAATGAAACAATATGGAGATTTATCACATTTAAAAACGAACCCATCTAAATCAGAGATTCTTAACGTCAATGTTCCAGCAACTGAAAAAAGGCTCTACAAAGAGAATTCCCCTTTGGATGGAAAGAAAGAGAATTAAAATATCTGGGAATAACATTAACCTCGTAGCCAAATAATCTATATAAAATAAACTACATCTCACTAATAACTGATCTCCATTCTTGAGGGAGTCTTGCTAGTGCTCTTGTTCTTCCAGCGTGTAGGGTAGCTCATGGCAGACTGGAAACAGGAATTTCAGCATGGCTGTTTGGGAATTGGGAGATCTAGCTAGAGATGTCTTCACTCCGCCATGTCCAAGCCAATAAAAAAAAATTGCTTTTATAACTGCTTTAATAAAATATCTCAAAATCTCAGCCATATACAAATCAAAATAAACATTGCAAGAAAGTCAGAGTAATTCATATCACTTCATATTTGGGCATAATTCACAATTTGCCTAGTTGCTAATTCTTTTACATAACAACTCTGCGCAAAATAAATTTACAGAATTGCGATTTTTTTTTGTTAGCAAAGTCATGTAGCAGAATATATTTTGGCCTACATTTATGAAGAATTTTTGTTTTAATTGGATATGTTTTATAGCAAAAAGTCAAAAATATTGTTTTTTTTTTCAAAATTGTCAGTTTTTGTTAGTGCAAAAAATTTAAAAACGCGAGGTGATCAAATACTACTGAAAGAAAGCTCTATTTGTGGGTAAAAATTACATAAGTTTCATTTATGTACAGCCCTGGTCAAAAGTTCTGAGAATGACAAAAATATAAATTTTCACAAGGTCTGCTGCTTTTCTTGAGGATTGATCAAATGTTCTCAATGGGATTAAGGTCTGCGGGGTTTCCTGGCCATGGACCCAAAATGTTGATGGTTTGTTCCCCAAGCCACTTAGTTATAATTTTTGCCTTATGGCAAAGTGCTCCATCATGCTGGAAAAGGTGTTGTGCATCACCCACTTTGTTGGCTGAGAAGCAACCCACACATGAATGTTCTCAGAATGCTTTACTGTTGGTTGTGGCATGACACAAGACTGATGGTAGTGCTCATCTTTTCTTCTCCAGACAAGGTTTTTTCTGGATGCCCCAAACAAATCACAAAGGAGATTCATCAGAGAAAATTACTTTACCCCAGTCCTCAGCAGTTCAATCCCTGTATCTTTTGCAGAATATCAGCCTATCCCTGATGTTTTTCCTGGAGAGAAGTGGTTTCTTTGACACCATCCATCCTCCAAAAGTCTTTGCCTCACTGTGCGTGCAGATTAACTTACACCTGCCTGCTGCCATTTCTGAGCAAGCTCTGCATTGGTAGTGCCCCGATCTCACAGCTGAATCAACTTAAGGAGACAGTCCAGGCACTTGCTGGACTTTCGTGGGCACCCTGAAGACTTTTCCACGGCAATTTAACCTCTCTCCTTGAAGTTCTTGATGACCTCATAAATAGTTGGTTTAGGTACAATCTTAGTAGCAGCAATATCCTTGCCTGTAAATCCCTTTTTGTGAAAAGCAATGATGACTGCCCTTGTTTCCTTGCAGGTAAATTAATATTTGTGATATTCTCAAAACTTTTGGGCTATACAGCTTTGCATGTCTGCACAATTGTCATTTAAAGTAAAGCTCTGTATCACAAAAAATGGCTGGGTGAGGAAAGGTGGGTAAATCTTAAAGAGGGCAAGTGGTTAAAGAAACTCATCCTGGAGAATAGAAACATAAGAAGAGATAAGAGAGTGATATATATATTGTGTTGCATTGAAATGTGCCAAATGTAAAAGTGGAGCTAATTAAGACCAACCAAGTTTTTCTCTGTACTACTGTACAGAGAAAAACTGGCTCAGACAGATTTTGTGCAAGTGTCTCTCATACATTCTAAAAGTGGCACAGCATGAACCAAAGTACAATTTCTAGATAGGTATATGAATATGCTGCACCAATTTTAGAATGCATGAGAGACACTTTGGCAAAATCTGTCTGAGCCAGTTTTTATGATTTCCAGGGATTGGCTTTTAGTTTAGGAGTTTAGAGGCAGGGGTGTTTAGAGGCAGGAAACAAAACCCACTGAAATCATTATTTTGAATGAAATTAATTAGCACTGAAGCACTTGGCGTGGCCAAAGCACTTAAACACTTTTACAAGTGCCAAGCGTTTTTTTCTCCCGAAATGCCCGTCAGGAGGAAAGAAGTCTAGTAGGAATAGAGACATATCCATTGTGCATGAGGCCTTATTCCCTTACCTAGGCAAAAATTCACTTTTTCAAAGTAAAAACTCACTACTACGTTAGTAGAGCAACACCATTGTCTTTAATTCGAACAATCTACTATTTTTTGTGTACATAAAGTACTTTCCTTTCTCAGTTTATATGGCTAAATCTGTTAATTGCATTGCATGAAAACATAAACAATTAGGATAAGCTGTAAAGCATTGAACACAGTGCTTCATATTTACAGACCTAGTGGCTTCTATGCAGTCTTTTAAGAATATCTTATACAGTAATGGTAATATGTTATCATTGATGAGAATTATGGATTGAGCATGCCAAGGGGTCATGGCAAGTCCATGTAAAAATTAATTAGTTAATCAATACTAAGTATAGAAAATAGCTTGTTGACACAGGTGTTAACATGTAAATGAGCTTTTGCTAATAACAAGTACAGGAAAAATAAATGCAAATGTGCTTGTTTGTATATTAATCTTTCATTGGCAATACCTACTGCAGCTGAATTCTGCTTTGTATATTCAACCTCCATAGCAAATCATGTATATACCTTATAGAAAACTTCTACTGAAGGTGCTATGTAGTCTGTTATTGCTGACTACTTTGAAAGATGGAGAATTAAGTATATGAACATTCTCTGTATATACTGTACAGTATATATATATATATATATATATATATAAATTGTGAATACTCAGAATTTGTAAACAACAGAGACTAGTTATGAAACTGTAAACATAAAAATATATAAGCAAAAAGATTGGTGGATCAAACCAAATCAATTCTGTACATCATGTACAGTAACTCTTTCCATTGTTTATTCCCAATTTTATAGCAAAGAAATAGAAAAACATACATTTAAAAAACATACAAGAAGGAATCATCATAGAGAATGTGTAAATTGTATAACTATAATGTACAGCACTGAGCAAACCTTTTGGCGCTATATAAATAACGTATAATAATAATATAACTAGAGAAACAAGATGTACATCAGATAAAAAGTGGTCAGTAATTTTAAATAAATTGCTGGAATGCCTGATTGGTTCTATCAAGATATCAAAATACACATTTGGTTTTATCACGTTATATATGAGAGAAGTAATGATATATACATTATAGACAATTAAAGTTTGTATAGCTCAGCGATAAGGACTTCATTGATTATCACTGACATCATTTCTTTTAAAATGGCAGTTTATTGGCTTCTATGGCTTCAGTACGTTTTGGGTCTCAAAAGTCAAAGTTCAGTCAAATCTTTTGCTCTGCATACCTCTTCCAAGTCCTTTAAATAAGATTATAGACAGGCAACTAACATTTCAAAAGCAAAGATCAGTATTGACAACAGACATACCCACCCCATAAAGGTTTCTTCAACATCCACTACTTAACATCAAAATGTTTCTCTATTCCAATACACCTTACATTGTGCATCAGTAGATGAGACCTTCCCCCTTGTGTAAGGCTGGTGTTTTTAGAACATATAGGGCACTAAGTTGTTTTGCACCCATCCCTCTTAAAAGGCCATCTTGGGGTTTATTGGCACTACAGACTTGTATCTTTATTATCATAAATGAAATTTATATATTGATTGAGGTATTTATTGACATTCATTCATGCATTTTCTGTTTTTTTTTAATGACAGAGATATTTATTGTGGTATATATTGAAGTATATTCATTGTTTTGTACATTTTGCACAGTTTTGGAATCACATACAGTATTTATTGATTTGAATATTTAAAGGCATTGCGCACCTAAAAAAAATATTATAAGGCTTGTATCTTCCCTTGTTCATTTTTTGAGTTAATAAAAAAGGAGTATATCTCATGGTTCCTACTAAACACTGGTTGGTTGTTGCATTGTAATTATAAGCAAGTATTTAGATTCATTAAAACATTGATTATGTTTTCGGATTCAGGGGAAATTTTGGTGAAAAAGTATTAGAGGAAAAAC